CGACACCAGGGCCAGCAAGGCCAGCACCGACACCAGGGCCAGCAAGGTCAGTGGGGTAAGACTCCACCAGCAGAGGGGCACACACAGCCGGGGCAGAACTCCCAGAAGAAGGGGAAGCCGCAGCTCCAAGAGGTCACCCAGCAGAGCCAGCACTACCAGCAGGATGAGAACTCACGGTGCCACCCCAAGTGCGCCCAACAGGATGAGAACTCCTACTTCCCAGAAAAAACAGAGTGGGGGCAAGAGTTGCAGCCGGCCTAGAAACAACAACCGAGAAAGAAATAAGAGCCAGCTTAGAAGTGTGAGCAGAGAGAAGAGTTACAGCCCACCAGGAGCCTCAGGCATGGGGAAGAGTTCTGGGCTGGCTATAACCCCAAGTAGGGCAAAGAGTTACAGCCCCACTGGAACTCCCTTCAAGGAGAGAGGTTCCAGCCAGTCTCCATCAACATCAAGGAGGGCAAAGAGTTATAGTCAGATGGTCACCCCTGGCAGGGAATGGAGTTACAGCCCAAGTGAAGTATCTAGCAGGCTCAAGAGTTACAACCAGGATACTGCACCCAGCAGGACCCAGGGTCACAACCGGTCTAGCGCCCCCGGCAGGACCCAGAGTCACAGCCGGTCTAGCACCCCCGGCAGGACCCAGAGTCAGAGCCGGTCTAGCACCCCCGGCAGGACCCGAAGTGAGAGCCCGTCTAGCACCCCCAGCAGGACCCGAAGTGAGAGCAGGTCTAGAATGCCCAGAAGGGCAAGAAGTCATAGTATGGTGAGAAGTCACAGTTGGAAGAGAAGTCACAGTAGAGCAAGAAGTCGTACCCGGAAAGGAACTCCCAGTCAGATGAGAAGACACAGCCAATCTAGAATCCACAGCAAGGGGGGAAACTATAACCAATATAGAATGCCCAGAAGGGAAAGAAGCCCCAGCCAGGAGAGAGATCACAGACGATCGAGAACCCCCAGCAACGAAAGAGACCACAGCCGATCTAGAACCCCTAATAAGAAGAGCAATCCTAGCCGATCTAGAACCCCCAAAAGTCTCAGCCAGAAGGATTCCACTAGCAGGGCACATAGTCCCAGTCAGAACAGAACACCTAGCAAGACAAGGTGCCCTTCCCCCTCCAGATTTCTCAGTGGGGCCCCAATTCCAAACCAGGATGATATTCAAGGTAACGCCGCCATCTCTAAGGCTGCCTCACCTGGAGAGAGGTCCTCATCGTCTTCTTCCAAGCTGGCATAGCCCCCAGTCTCAGCTGGCTCACGGGTCTCTGTCATGGCCAGGGGAGGAGACAGGAGACAGGAGCAGAGGAGCAGCTAGGCAGTGTCCCTCCCCGGCCAGCTCTCCACAGCCACACCTCAGCCACAAGTTCTCCAATGCAGGATGTCAGCAAAGAGAGCGGGATGCTGGACAGGGGAAGGAAAGGCTTGCGTTGACTCAATAAATTTTTACATAGCACCTGCCTCTCAGGGCCCAACTGTGTGCTCAGTGCTGGGGGAAAGGAAAAGATAGCCCCAGCTCCTCTGTAGATCTTAATTTCCCCATCTGGGCAACAAAGCCGTCTGTGGTTCTTGTTCAGCGGAATGGGGAAAGGTAACATTCCAAATATTTAGCAGCGGGTACTAGCAGGGGCACCAATCAGAACTGAGAGTGGAACAGGGGCCTACCCAGGAATTAAGGCTTTGGTTGCTGGACTGTGGGAAAGTCTGGGGGCTGGGAGAGGGTCCAAAGTGGCAGTTGGGGGTAGGGATTATTTGACGTAGTGGTGATATACTAATCGGGCTAGAGGTATTTCAATATTTAAACAAGCGGTACGGCCGCCCTAGTTCGCGTCAGCCCTAGTTCTATACCTTGGCAAGATGGTGTCCAGGTCTGAACCCCAAGTCTGCCACATTCTAGCTGTGTAGTTTCAAGCAAAGGACCTAATCTCTCTAGCCTGTTTCCTTCCCAGTACAAAAGGAGCTTCCAGGGCTTAACTCATGCAGTCCTTATAACTATGTTGAGACAGACTGTCTCCTTTGTACAGATGAGGAAACTGAGGCACAGAGAGGGTTAACAAGTAGCTTAAGGTCACACCAACTGGTTGATGGGTGGACTAGGATTTGAAGCCATGTTATTCTACCTCTCATAAATGGCCCCTCAGCTGAAATTTTTTTTTGAAGATTCAGTAGGGCTCATTCGATATAAACCACTGGTATGTGTCAGTTACTGCAGTAACAGTGGCTGTTAATACTCCCACTCATAACCCTTTCTATACACCCCAGCCATTCCAGACTTATCATCTCTCCCTGTGCACACCAGGACTTTTCACACCTAAGGGTCTCAGCAAATCCTGCTACTGCTGCTTACAATGTCCTCCTTCCCCACCGTCTACCTAGAGAACTCCTACTCGTTCTCCAAAGCCCACCTCAAACACAAGAACCTCTGTACTTCCTCCCAGCCCAAACACCACCTCCACCTTTTCCAAGCCTTCTGAGTCCTTTCCTTCCTATCCCTCTTCACCAGTACCTCGCCACACACACACACACACACACACACACACACACACACACACACGGCAGTTCTTTTGTCTTCCACTGTAATCTTTGGCAGTAAAGAGCTAGGAAGAGCAAGTCAGTGAAAGGACTGGCAACCTCAGCTACGCCTCTTTATGCCAAGGCCCGTGCTGGGTACTGGGTATACAGTGATGGGAAATACACAATCCCTTCAAAGCCTGGAAGTCAAGTTTAATGCTGGGGACGGAGAAAAAAAAAAAAAAATTAAAAGTGAAGCCTGGAGGAGGCTGAGGCATGGGAGGGCTGGTATCAGTGGTAAAGGAGCTTTCTAAAGACACCCCTGAATCTGGGCTTTAAGGACAGAAGATTCATAACTGGCAGAGGAGAGTTCTTATAATACCCTATTGCCTGTAGGGTCCCATTTAACTGAGGAGTTCTACTTTAAGCCAGGATAATTTGCCAAATTAAGTAAATAAAAGCAGACAATGCTAGGTTAAATGTGAATTTCAGATAAACAACAGAAAATTATTTAATATACATAGGTTCCAAGCAGTATTTGGGATAAACATTTCTAAAAGATTATTTATCTGAAATTCAAATTTTAAGTGGATGTTCTATGTTACCTGGCAACCACACACTACAATCAGGACTACCCAGGAGATTACCTGGAGACGTTGCTCACCAGTCCAGCCTACCCTCCCCCAAGCCCACATCACACAAGGACCCTTCCAGCGTACTCCAGATGTTAGGTGGAAGCATTCTTTGGTGCAGTCCCATTCCTATAAGGACTATGGTGGCCATACTGGCTTCCACAATTTTAAAGGGTTATAAGTGACACTGCCTCGCTACCACAGGGAAAACACAGTGCCAAGACCCCACTACATTCTGAACCTACAGCAACCAACTCCCAAGATGCCCTGTGAGAACATAAAAGGCACCCGTTCCCACAATGGAAGGGCAAGGAGGCCAGAGCAAAACCTTACAACAGACAATAAGGACCAGTTCCCACAATGCCCTGCGGCAATTCTTCCCGGGATGCCTTGGGCCTATAATGACCGCCTTTCAAGGTGCTCTGCGTCGAAGCACTCCAAGCGTCCAAGATGCTGAGCGGAAGGTGTGTGACAAAAGGGGCCGGTTTCCCAAAAGGAGCTACAATAATCCTTCCCAGAATGCACCAGGCCCATAACGACTAGCAGACCGACTCCCACAATGCCTTAGGGCGGGGCGTCCCGTTTCCCCAGGATGCCCCAGGGCTGCACGGAGCCGTGTTGGGGGAGAAAAGGGAGCCTGGGTCTCGCCCTCCGGCCATGATGGGCCAAGACCGCTGCCAGCTCGCCCCGGTGATGGGAGCCGTAACTCCCATCATGCAGCGGTGCCGTAGCGCCCGCTTCCCAGCATGCCCCGCGCACCCCTATCCCTATCCCGGACACTCACCGGCACTAGCTGCCCCCGCTCTGGCTCGGCGGCGGCGGCTGCACGCCCGAGCTCTGCGCGTGCGCTGCAAGTCGGGTAGGAGGGTGTACAAGCGGCGTGAAGCGCCTAGGGCGCTTGCGCGGCGAGGTGGACCATTCCCATTGCACAGTGGGGAGAGGGGCTCTCCGAGTCGGGCCATCGACTAGGCCCGCGCAGGGGCTTCCGGACTTTGCCCCTTGCTGTCCAGGTTTACTTGGTACAGTCCGCAGCTAGACGGAACTAGAAACTGCGAGGCTTGCGCGTGCGTGAGCAAGCAGGAACGCGCCTTACAGAAAATGAGATGAGCTAGGGGTTGGGGGCGCCAACTAGGCTTGGATCTTGGATTTGAGGCTTATTTGCATAACCTTAGCGCGGGACAATGGGAGCCCTACGGCGCTGAAGGGGTGATTTGCATATTCCCCGGAGAGGCTGTACTGCCAAACATCTTGATTAGCATATAGGGGGAGAGGGGTGGCGGGGGGCGCGCCTGAGCAAAGCGCATGCGCTTACGGATTGCGGACTAGCGAGTGGCCTTGTTTTAGTTGGCGTCAGTTTGCATCCGGAGAGGGGGCGCAATGGCCAAGACACTTACTAACTCTCACAAACCCCTTCCCCCACCACCATCAGAAATATTTATTGTCGTCGTCTGTGTCAAGCCCTGTGTTGGTGGGCACCGTGGTTTCCGCAGTGAACGAGACATACCTGGCCCCTATCCTGGCACCCCAATCAAAGGAAGGAGGTTCACACAAAATCAGAACCACAACCCAGAGTGGTCAGATTTGGGATGAGTGAAGCATAGGAAGCTGTGGGAGCCAGAGGAAGTGCCTGCCCCAGCCTGGAAAGGCTTCCAAGAGGTGATGATCTTTAAGCCAAGGATGAATAGAAGCCAACTATAGAATAGGAGTCCTGGCACAGGGAACAGCAAGGGCAGAAGCCTACAGGCAAAAAGTAGTGCATGGTTTGATTGAGAAAGTGATAGCAGCTACGTATGCCTAAAGCAGAATTAAGGGAGGGGAAAGGCTCCTAAAGGTAGAGTTAAGAGCTCTGACTATACAGTTTGACGGCATAGGAAGCCACTGCAGTATTCCAGGCTTTTATAATTGACTTATATTTTAGCTCAAAACTCTCAAGAGCTCCCATTATACTTAAATCAAACGTTATCATGGCCCAGGGGCTATACATGTGGTCTGTTCCTACTTGTCTCTGACTTCACTCACCTCTTTATCCACCCCTGTGTACCTCTACTTCCCCTCAAACACCAGTGCCTACCACCTCAGGCCTTTACCATTGCTGTTCCCTTTGCCTGAAAATGCTTTTCCCTCTGATCTTTGACTCATCATTCATATCTTGGCACAGGTGTCAAACAGGCTCTTCCTGATATTTCAAAGATGGCACGTCGAATTTGCATTAGAGAAATGAGCAGGATTGTGGATACAGCAGGATTGGCCACGAGTTGATGGTTGTGGGAGCTGGGGTGAAGGGTGCATGGGACTTCATAGTCCTGTCTACTTCTGTATTTGAAGTTTTCTATAATAAATTAATAGTACCCCATCCCCTCACTCTGCATTTTATCTTAAGAGTACTTATGGCAAGCTGAAATTAAAGGTTTTTTGCTTCCTGTTTTCCTCATGGAAGCTTTGTGAGGGTAAGAAAGGAGTCACCCTTTTTCCTTCAGTCCTCAGTGCCTAGAAACAGGATCAAGTTTCAGATTAGTACGAAGCCATCTAGAACACCTAACATTTGCCTATTTTATTCATCATGGCATCTCCAGATCTTTGGGCAGCACCTGGCACAAAGAAAGAGGTCAGTGTATTTTTTAATCTAAAATTAGGTCTAAAATTAAAATTTAGTCGAATGAATGAGGGGCCAGGAGTGCCAGGCTAAGGGGGCTTGACTTGACCTAGAGGTGATGGGGAAGCTAGGGAAAGATTTTGAGCAGAGCAGGCACAGGTTTTGACAGGGCGAGATGTGAGTTAATTGAAAGGTCCTTTGGAGATTGGTTTCCGGGTTAGAGGTAAACCAGGGGAAGGATCTGGGCCTTTGGCCGAGGACAGGGTAGCTCAGTGGCTACTGACTCAAGACTCGGTGGCTTTTGGCCGAAGGAGTGGCCAGGGAAAAAACCAGATTTCTTGGAAGGGTGGAGGTGCCCCTGAAGAGGTAAGGAACTTCTCCTGGCTTGTACTATCCACCAACAACCATCTTACTTCTCTCCCTCCTCCCTCCCTTAGTTCAGTTCCCCTCCCAACATAGTGCAGCTCTGGGCAGAGGGACAGACACACAGCCACCCCAGACACTTGTTCTCTCCTCAGTTTAATGGTGGTTAGTGGGATTGCCAAACCCCCTCCCCGTTCCCCTCCCCGC